AGAAGAATTATGACATCGGCGACAGAGAACTGCTAGCTGTTAAACTCGCTTTAGAGGAATGGCGCCACTGGCTGGAGGGGGCCGAACAGCCCTTCCTCATATGGACGGACCATAAAAACCTCCTGTACCTGAGAACCGCCAAGAGGTTGAATCCACGCCAAGCTCGCTGGTCTCTGTTCTTCGCCCGCTTCAACTTCACGCTCTCCTATCGTCCAGGGTCGCGGAACACCAAGCCCGATGCGCTCTCCCGTCAGTACTCCTCCGACAGTGGAGCGTCTTCCCCCGCCACCATCCTACCCGCCGCCTGCGTGGTGGGCACTCTCACCTGGGAGATTGAGGAGACCATTCGCCAAGCTCTCCCGGGGGACCCCGATCCAGGGACTGGACCACCCGGACGGCGCTTCGTTCCTGCTGCCGCCCGTGGAGCGGTCATCCACTGGATCCACACAGCACGATTCACGTGCCACCCAGGCGTGAGCAGAACGACGCACCTCCTCAAAAGACATTTTTGGTGGAAGACGCTAACAAGGGACGTGAGGGACTATGTGTCCGCCTGTGCCGTCTGCGCCCGTAATAAGTCATCCACCAAGCGCCCCGCAGGTCAGCTCCACCCGCTCACTACACCCCACCAGCCCTGGTCTCACATCTCCCTCGACTTTGTTACCGGTCTCCCTACCTCTTCCGGAAAGTGTGTCATCCTCACCGTTGTAGATCGATTTTCTAAGGCCGCTCACTTCATCCCGCTAGCCAAGCTGCCCTCGGCCGCGGAGACTGCCCAAACGTTGATTACTGATGTGTTCAGGCTCCACGGAATCCCCTTGGAGATTGTCTCCGATCGAGGTCCCCAGTTCACCTCACAGGTGTGGAAGACCTTCTGCTCCACTCTCGGCGCCAAGGTCAACCTAAGCTCCGGCTTCCACCCACAATCCAACGGACAGACTGAACGTCTCAATCAGGAGCTGGAGACTATGCTGAGGTGCGTGGCTAGTCAAAACCCCTCCTCTTGGGTTACCTACCTGCCCTGGGTGGAGTACGCCCATAACACTTTAACCTCGTCCACCACCGGTCTATCTCCTTTTGAAGCGTCCCTCGGATATCAGCCTCCACTCTTCCCTGAAGAGGACTTAACTCTCTCCGTCCCGTCAGCTCCACATCACCTTCGGCGCTGCCAACGTGTATGGCGCAGCGTTCGCAGCGGCCTCCTGCGCGCGAAGGAACGACACGCGCACTACGCCGATCGGCGCCGTGCCCCAGCCCCTGACTACCAGCCGGGACAGAAGGTTTGGTTGGCTGCTGGGAATATCCCGCTCCGAGGCACGTCCCGCAAACTGGCTCCCTGTTTCATCGGGCCGTACGTGGTGGACCG